CAATTAATTACTAAAAAAAAATAATTAATTTAACTTCATAAGCTCTACTTCTTATAATTGAGTTTACTAATTTGGTATGTTATTTAATGTATAAATATAATATTTTAATTTTTAACCTAAAGTTGCTCGTTTATTGATCGTCTCCGAAAGTTACTTGTTGCAAATATCGAGCGTTATTTACATTATTTTGTTATTGAGTTTACTTCTTAAATTAAAATTTTTGATCCAGGTTCTAAATTGTTGCCGAACTTTTTGTATTATTTTCAAATACAATACAAAAAAATCTGTAATTTTTTAAATAAAAAATACAGCCTTAAGTTATCCCTAAACAACATTCAAAGAGAAGCACGTGCAACTTCTTGACGCACGACGCAACGACAGTATACCTAATCGTTTCATGTGCCACGCGATCAAGTCGGATCGATTTCTATTCGGCGTTCATCGCGCAAGCCGCTATAAAACGTGATCGATTTTCGGACGCTGTTGCAAGGGTGTGAGCGAGTGTGCGCGAACTAAAAGATACGGTTTCAAATTCAAATTTCTAAACATCTGTCGTGTGTACTTGCAGATACCGAGAATTTAGGACTGGACAACGTTTGCATATTGAAAGACCTTCATCCTCTTCTTATCGTCACCTATAAATATCTTACTATGTCTGTGAGTATATCGCTTTGCCTTACTTTAGCAACAAAATTGTTAATATCAAAACTTGATAAGTAATTTGTTGATAGTAAGGTTTTTAAAAATCCAAAATTGAATAAGTTAACAAGTTTAAAATCTTTATTGTAAAAATTTTTATCTGAATTCACATATTTGATGATTATTATTATTATTAATCGCAATTGATTGAAATTTCCAGCGATTTAGTGATCGAAAAGAATAATCAGTAATATATAAAAAATATATCTATATTTTTCCAGCCAAAAATCATTGATTCATCAACATCAAATCGATGTTAATTTAATATCGATCGACGTCGAATTAATGTTGATTCAAGATCCAATCATTTCTGGCGTAGATTTCTTTTTATAAATAAAATGAAATATTTTAAATTTATTATTACAGACTGTAAATAAAGCTTCATTTTACTATTTAAAGCCAAGAAGTTTTAATAAAAAGTACAAAGAAAACATGACAGAGTTAAAGAATGTAAATTCGGGAGCTCTTTTCTAATTCTTAGTTTCAAATATTTTAGAGAGCAAATATATGTTACAGATACACACAATTCGTGTACCTCACAATGAACGGCTGATGGTGAGATGTCGAGAGATAGGTAAATACAAGTTTATCGGCGATTCCTTGTTGCACTGCCGCAATGGCACGTGGGATGGAAAGACACCTAGTTGTGTGTCTACCACAGCAATCTCTAATTATACCGGTACGTCATAATATAATCGTATTTGAAATACCTAAAAGAAACAACAGACGTATATAGAGTCTACTCCAATTATTCAAAAAATTATGATTGATGAAAAAGAAATATATGGGAATATTAAATATTATACGTATAGATATATTTTGATGTGTCCTGTGATTTTTTATATTATGTACGTCATCGATAATCTCTTCTAAATTTTGGTCCTCGCGTTTTTCGAGGATAAACAGAAGATGTACCACCAACCATCGACTTCGGTCTACCTACTGGCTCGGCCGTAGTAGAGCCGACTGGTGCACTCGCCGTTTACCCAGGAAGTATCCTGCATCTGGAGTGTCTCTTTGCTAGGAAATTGGGCAATCCCGAATGGACATGGACCTCAACGTTCCGTCGATATCTGACAGGTAAATCTGAAAAGTGCATTGAGACCTTGAATATTTGTACATTAAAACGTATGGATTCAAATAAGAGTTTTTAATAATTAAAAAAATTTATTCTTAATAATGTGAAATTTAAACGTTCGTCCTTAAATATAATTTATATATTTTTTTTATTTACTTGTTCTAGGATGGGCGATCGCTGCACGGGAAAGAGACTTTAAGTATCGCCTATCGATATACTACGCCAAACCTCCAGATTCCGGAATATACACGTGCACCACACCAAAAGGATTGAATAACTCTATACAAGTTCGTGTTGTAGGTACGGTCACTAAATAGAATTTTGTAAAATAATATGTTATTCTTAGAATTTATTGTGTTTACATTGATCGCATTCATCAGTAGCGAGGTAATTCTATTATATCAAAAAAATTTCTGATTGAAAATAAACGAGTCAGAAGATTACTGATTTATATATCAATCAGAATTCTGATTATCTCAACTAAACTTATAATAGATTCAACTAGAAAATTTTTATTTGTCCATTTTTAGTCAGAATTTCAATTAATAAAACCGGATTCTTTTTCCAATGATGGCTTTAATTAACTTTTGCAGATGTTCAATGCCCGGTATTGAATGTCCCGGAGTCGCCGTTAATCAGTCGTATCGGGGGCAGCCGAATGGGAAATAGTGCCGTTTTCGAGTGTCCAGTAGGCTACAGATTAGAAGGTGCTTCCAGAATTACGTGCCAGTATAACGGTACGAAGCAACACTTGCTTGCCAGTGAGCACAGTTAAATATAAAATTAAAAAAACTGTGTCTTGCAGGCAAATGGTCGACGGAGATGCCGCAATGCGAAAAGATCAAATGCTCGGAGATAATTATCAGAAATAATGCATTGTTGGTATTAAACGATCACAATAGCACTTATGGCGAGAAAGCTATCTTCACCTGCATGTGGGGATACAAACTTTTGGGCTCGCAGAGTATGACGTGCGAAGGAGACGGCAAGTGGAACGGATCTATGCCGACTTGTCAAAGTAAAACAGTCATTTTAGAAGATGTGATTCTATTTTTAAAGAATTTTTAGACAGTAATTTTAAAAATATCTCAAAAACTTTTTCGACAAATTGCAACATGGCTTAAACATTGAATTAGTCGATTTGAATGCTCGGCTGAAATTATTTTTAGACTTATGTATGCTTAAAAAAAATAGTTCTTGCAAAAAATCAGTCATAATCAGTTAAATCAATTATATAATCATTTTTAACAGAAATAACATCGTAGTTAATAAAAGATGTTTGTAGAGATCATTTGTCCTGTACCGGAAACGCCACAAAGTGGACGCATCGTAGAGCAACCGCGATATACTAACAAGAAACAATATCACGGCCGAACATACAAAGTCGGCGCCTTAGTGAGATTCGCCTGTCAACCAGGTCATCAATTGATAGGAGAAGGGGTTATCATATGCATCGAGAACGGTACTTGGTCTCACGATCCGCCTGTATGTAAGTGTCCGTATAATTAAGTTTTATAATATTAATATAACATATTTCAAATACAGTTGATAATCCTGCATTAATTAGCGTGAGAAGATTGCGCCACTTTAATTTTGTTTTGTAATTTTACACGAAAAGAACGGTTTTGCGCTGAAATATCTAAAAAATTTAGCTGAATACACATCTGAAAATAATTATGTTGCTACAATCTACAATCTATAAATAATCATATTGAACGCTCAAGCTGGTTGCTAAAGTGTCAAAATCTTTTACACCATTATCATAAAATGTTGAAATTCTTATATAATTATTTTAATCTGTAATTGGCCTAATTTTTTATGTACATATTTCAGCGAAACTGTTTTTTCCGTGCATGAAAAAATAGCACTAAAAAATTAATGTTATACTGTTTTCTTCGTGTTTTTGGAATTATTAAAAATTTCAAACATTAAATTTTTGTATATTAATAATATTTTATATATTAATATTTATATATAATTTATTATGTAATATTCTAGGTAAGGTAAGATGTCCTTATCCAGGTGATCCTCCTCATGGCCGAATCGCACCTCTCAAGTTTTGGTACAAACCAGGAGATAACATACAGGTGATTTTAATTCTTTTTTTTCTGCTTGGTTAATTTATTATTGTATATAATAAATATAATAAGATTGCCATATAAATAATTAAATAGATTTTTCAAAATTATTGAAGTGTAATTTTGAAATGTATGAAACAGGTAACATGTTCGCCTGGCTATGTGACTCCTCTGGAACCAGTGAAAAAACCATCATGTCGGGAAAATGGCATTTGGAGCGCACCACCGCCACCTTGTCGATCTTACAAAGAGGTGTGAGAGCGAACACGAGTTCTCTCATTTAATTCTCAAGAGTCTCTCACGGACTACTGCGCCATTTTATCTTACATGACAAATTCGATATTTATTATACGGGTAGCAACGTGCATCAATATACAATAAGAGAAACTTATGTGAAGCACTCACTTTGTTTTGAAGTGTATTAGACTAATTACATAAAGTTAATATTATTGATACGATGAATATAGTTACAGTTACAATTTATCGAATCGACAAATAATCATGAGTAGATCACACTGGAAAGAGCATTTTGCGTTAAACGTAGACTACGGAACGACCAGTATTTTGTTAATTCTCTTCCAGACGTACAACGATTTTAATAAAATTTCCTTTTCTTAATATGCTCTTAATAAACATTTGCCCACGATCATTTCTATTTATTTTTAATATCGAAGCACGACGCCGTTTTTTTCCAATACAGGATATAGATGCTAACAAGCGTTTTAAAATATTAATGACATATAGTTACAACAAACACTACAAGTAATTTTAATTTATCACATAAATTTTTCATATAAAGTTTTACATCATTTTTTTTAATTGTGTAAAAATATATATATATATATAAATAGAATAAACTATCCATCAAGATCTACATATGAGTGCTATGATTTGTATAGAATTTAATAACTGATTATAACATTTATATATTAGTCTGAAATATAAGTAGAAAAATAAAATAGTTTTAATTAATATAATTATTTTATTATTTAGACTGCCTGCAAACTTCAAGTAAAACAGCTTTTTTAAATTAATTGTATGTATGTGTGTATATGTATGTATGAAAGTAGTTATATGTGCGAAGATGGTTATATACCTATAGTTACTGTTCTCGTTGTCATAATAACCATGGCAATAACCAGGACAATAACTAGATAATTAGAATGCAACGCGCAATTAACCGGATAATGACAGTTTCCTCGCTTGCTTGTAATGTGATGTTTAATATTCGATGCAGCAATCCATCGAAAACCAAGGAATATCATAGAAATGGGTCGTGCGAAAACTCCTAAAGAGATACGTGTGGAGACATGGCTTATCAGGGACAAAATAAGTCGTTATCGTGGAATTCTGAAATTGCATGGTCAAGCATTGTTTAAAATTATAAATTTGAATAGATATATTTGTTCTATTTCTAACTAAATTAAGTAGAGAAAGGATTATCTTAAGATTATATCTTAATAGTCGTATTTTACATTTAAAATAGATTATATCCGTGACAAAAATTATTCTTAGAATTCTTTATAAGTATAATTTTTCAGAATTTCTACATAAATTTCAGAATTTTTTAGAATTTCTGTATAATTTTATTATAACTTTTCAGAAAATTTCTCTAATTTTTTAAATACAAATTAGAATACTTTTTAGAAATACTAAAAAATTGTTACACATTTTCTAGAATTCTTTATACACTCACAAGGAAATTGAAGAAACTGTCCCTCACCGATTTTAATAAACAAAGAAAAAACAATTCCTTAAAAAATAGAAAAATTTTTTAATTTCTTAATTTTTTCTATTTTTTTACTGTGTCACTTTTTTTGACGAATTGTGTGTATGTGAGTAAATATGTGAATTTTAAAATACTAAGATGTCTTATTTTATAATTTCTAAAAAAAATTTATAATTTTATATAAAAAAGTTCAAGAGGCACATTTTTCAAAAGTCTTTATAATTTTAAAATATGAAAAATTATTAAAAATATGATAAGAACTACTATAAGAACTTTTTTCACTAATTAATATTAAATTATATATGATATGATATTAGAGAATTAATCGTTCTTGCAAATGAAACTTATTTATCTGATATTAATATTTTGACATCAATAGATGGAACAGTATTTTTTTAGATACAGGTAACATAGATTACATAAAATATTTTGCAAGAACTTACTTTTGGCATTTCTAAAATAAAGTTCGTTTCAGAATAGCTCAGTAAAGAATACATAGATTCTAAATAGTTATATGTGCAATTGTTTTGATATGCCCAGCACGTGATAAGAAACTACAGCTATCGCAAGCAACGAAATTGAAATCAATAGTGTCCAGGAAAGTCACGTCCCTAGATGTCGATGTTAAAAGACATCGTGAAATCGTCAGTCATCTTCACGATGGTAAACAGCACATTCTTAGATTGCTAGCCGATCATAAAAGATTCTACTTGGCGGTCAATCGCCTAAAACCATCCGTAAGAATAGACCAGTATTGACTTTGAATTTTTAAAAAATAATTCGTATTTTTCGCGGATAGTTCTGAAATGCACTATAATATGAAAATCTTATGTATTAGGAAATTTATGCGGCAATATATCAAGATTGCAATTTGAAACGACGCCTCTTAGATAAGCTCTATTATGAGAAAAAGAAAAGATTGAAGCGAGGTATCGAATTACAGGTAGAACCTGATCCTTACGTGTTATAATAAATATTAAATGCTTAAGCAGTTGGAATAATAATTAGCAAAGTACACTATAAAAAATAAAATGTTAATTTTTAACTTAAAGACGTATAGTGGATTTTGTGAGACATGCAAAAATATTAAAATTAACTTTTATGTTAATTTTAACTTTTTAAAATTAACACTTTTGTGTTAATTTTAACATTTTGTATGTCTTAGCAAGTCCACTAAACGTCTTTAAGTTAAAATTAACATTTTATTTTTTACAGCGTACTTACATATTAATACAGAGTAAGAGAGTGGGGAGGAGGCAATAATTTTTGTTCATCTAAAGTATTTCTTCTATTTTAGAGATATAAAAATATTTTAATACAAAAGTTATATTTAGTATCATTATAAGAGCGTTATAATATATGTAGTGCTAATATCGGGTGCATTCAGAAGCACGTCCATTAAACGCTCAGTGAACTCTTGCATCTGATTAGCATATTCCATTAGATCTAAAAATATTGACCGAAGGTACAAGAGCTCACTGAGCGCTCAGTAAGCAGTCGTGCTTCTGGATGCACCTAATAATTTTTCTGTGGGTGGATAAATAATTGATTCATCTTATTATTTGGTACATAAAAATGTTACGGTTGTCATAAAATTGATATCTTACAAAATATCTTATATTTTATATCAAAATGTGTGTGCTAAAATAAAGTATAAATAAATATTTCGTATATACTATTATTTTTACTACTATTGATTTTTTGATGATTCTATCTACTTTTATACAGAATAATTAGAAGAATCACATTATGTAAAAAAAATACATAATTCTATTTAAAAAAATGAAGGTAACTTTGAATCTCCAAAATGTATCCACCTACAGAAAAGTTATTATTAGCGTTATATTATGACATTCTTATATCATATTATGATCCTTTTGATACTATATAACTTACATAATTAAAATATTGTCACGTCTCTAAAAATAGCGAAAATGCTCCATGCAGCCAAAGTTATTGCCCATCCTGTACAGTTCTTATACATATATAAGATTAAGTCCATTAGAGCATGTATTATGCAATAATATTATGACGTTTCTTATGTATATACTCACAATATATGATATTGAGATTCGTATACTCGTTTTGTGCTAACTTTGAGCCATAAAGATTTGCTCGTTCGCTGAATGACAAGCTGGAACATCACGTTCTTTCAACTGAACTCGAGGAGCAAAGCGAATATCGACCGAACTGCGAGCAGCAACGATTAGTAGCACAATTACAGCGATCCATCGCCAAATATAACGCAGCAAAAGACATATGTTCTACATACTGGTCGATGCTAAATATTCTGAAGAAAGTAAATTTTTGATTGTCACATTATTAATATATTTTTAAAGACAATATTTTTATCTCAAGAACATAAAGAATCTAATTCAAAGATCTTTTTTGTGACCACATCATTTTTATTCCTACGAAATCTTTGTAGGACGCAATATTTTTCGATACCTTAATGAATATTTTGAAAGAGGACCAATCTTCCCAATGCAAAGTGATGTTGAAGGTAACAGTGAGGGGTCAACTGGCAGCAGAGAATCTGGACGACGTCAGACAAAAATATAAACGAATGTCTCGAATCGTTTGGTGTAATATGAAAATTAGAGAACAAATGTTGAGTACGGTAAACAGCCAGGTGAAGGATTTGTGGACTTACGCACAGTCATTGGTGCGTGTTGAGGTGAATAAGACTACTCTTATTACAAATAAAAATTCTATAGAGCTATTAGTCTCTCTTTACGGCAAAAATCGTAGAAAAGATTTTTATGAAGATATTTGCAATAAAATTTTAGCAAAAAATATTTATGTTAATTAGCAACTTTATATGATATGTGCTGTTTAGAGCTTCTAGATAAAATTTTACAAATATCTACTTTATAATGATGATTTGTATAACGAAGAGATTCATTCAAGTATTTTCTTATTTATAATTTATAGAGCGATCACATTTTTATGAAAAGAGATACCGATGTATTTAACAAAACATTAGAAAATCAGTTAGCATATTTGGAAAATATTTGCACTGAAGTGAAAGACGTTCTACTCGTGCGTTCATATCATGACCTGCTATCAAGGTATTCTATTTTAGATCTTCTATATATTTTATAATAATATCTACAGTTATATAAAATGTTTTCTTCCTGCAATCAGGCTTGAAAATCAATCTGAGCACAGGGTAGCTTTGCTAGCGCGATTAGACATCAATATAAAGAATCGCGAGGTTTTATTAAACAAAAAACATCAGGCGTTACAAGTTCTCGAGGGTCTCAAGTATTCCACAAAAGAACAGTAAATAATTGCTACAAGATATGACGAAGCATTGAGCATAATTAATACATTAAAAAAAGGAATTATATAATAATATAATTATTAATCTTTCTCTCCAGTAGGCACAGTTTTTTATCTCATTAACGAATTGATAATTTGAAAACGCGGTATTTCTTAGATATAAGATAAACGGTATACAAGATGTAGTGGAACAAATTGAAATCGAGAAGAAACGTGAGAAGGATCTTAAGGAAAAAATAACAGCTCATGGCGAATTGCTCACGAATATCAGAGCGGCCTTACAGAATATGAATATGATGTTGCTTTGCGTCAAACACAGCATCAAAGGAGTGGTGAAGAAACCGGTCAAAGACGGGAATAAGAAAGAACTAATCATAACCAATGATAAAGAAGATATAGAAGAACGCGACGCGTTAACAGAAATCGAACGAATGGACACAGATGGTAAAAAAGTTATAATTAATTAAACATCCATTCAAATCTTTCTCTGTTCCTTAATAAAATGTTAAGATAGAAATTAGATAGAAATAACAATTAATTAAACCATAATGTATCGGTTTCACAGTTTTAACGCTGATATCGAGAATCAGCCGAAAAATAAACATTCTCTTCAATATTAGCAACTTTGAGCTCGAAGAGAAGGAAGACGAAGCTCGGGATCTTTACCACACCTATGTATCGAATTATAATTCTGATTTGATATTCGGAACTGGTGAAGAAGAACCGATCGGTAAATTATCTCTTCTTTTGTCTGTAAACTATACAGCTTTGATTATTTTTTATCGACTTACAAAATATCTCCATATAAGCCATACGAATTTACAGGATTATTGGTTGAACATGAGATGGTCGACGTTACTATTCCGACGCGAGCAGACATCAAGTATCACAGCAGGCAGATTCTAGAGGCACACCTGAAACTGGAATAGAGTTTATCGCGTCAAATCTCATCACAATAAAATACAACATTTGAAAACAACTTTTATTTATTGTACAATATTCTGCATTATCAATTAGTATAAATCTAGTATTCATTGAGGTCGTTAACATGACTGTATCCCCGCCTCTTCTTTATTATCTCGAATTTTAGCCAGGAAGGTATGTATTTGCCATCAGGATGAGCCAACGGGAATCTTCTTGGTGGCTCTGGCCCGTCGAAGGGATGAACCTTCTTCAGCTTTCTTAACAGAAATTCCTTTCTTATCTGTTTGGGATCGCGATATTTGTCTAGATAAATATTGAAGGGTTGCTTCAAAGGGAACCACGTTTGCTTCTTTATGTACGGTTTAGGAAAATCGTACCGGAATATCGGCACTCTCATTTTTAGCATATTGTAATAAAATTCCTTTAGCGAGTGATCCCAATCTGATTGGAAGAACGCCAAACCAGCAGGTGTCAACTGGTCCTGATATTTTCTATAAAAATCTAGCGTTCTCCAGTTACGCTCCTTTAGATTCAAGCAGGGCTTAGTTTTCTTGTATTCCGAGAAATCTATGCTATGATTCTGCTTGTAAAGCACGAAGATGTATCTGCAGTACCCGATGCCGTATGGCGCTATCGGTTGCAGATAATCCACTAACTCCTCTCCTTCCTTCAAACGATTTCCAGGAATATTGCCGATGAACCAGTGACAATACTCGTTGTCTGCGCTGGTCAAGTTACCATCTGGTGTAGACATTATCAAGCTCCACAGTGTTCCATCCTCTGCATCATATGTTACATCAGGTGCCTTAGAAGCTTCGCCTGGCTTGATCACGTTACCGGTGTAAACCTTTATCAGCTTGTCATCCTCTGTATCATAGCTTATGTTCAGTGGGACTACCGGCATGAAGTAAGCGTCTCCGTACAGATCATTGTAAACGCCATAGTGCTTCGCTATTCTGTGAGTGTGAGAGGATCCATCGATTTGTAGCCAATTCTCTTTCACTGTCTTTAGGTCCACCAACAGCTTCCTGGTACGCGAGGATTTCTCGAGCTCAGCGTTGTTCCTGCGTGCTATGATCTCGTTCATCCAACCGCTTATCATCGAGCGTCTGGAGATCTTGGTCATCGGATAACCAATGTTCACCTTGAAATCCAAAGTCGGGTCCTCTCGATTCAGTTCCTCGAGACGTTGCTTCAAGGTACGGGCGATTGTCGGCGGTTTTCCTCGCATCCGATGGCCGTGACGGACATGCTGGCCCTTCGGAATAAAGTCGCTGGCGAGACAGCGCAAAAGTTTGACAGACATGTCGCGACAGCCGTATATACACTTGTTTTCGATACGAACGAAATACTCAATAATACATTCTGTTATTTATTAGCGTTGATGAAAATCTTCCTTTTCGAAGTGGTTCCCACTGGTTGGTGAGAGTTGCGCGTCTTCGACTTCACCTTGAGATACCACGTTTGGATGATATTCTTGATATTCGATTGATTTTTTAAATAATTTTGCTCAACTTCTTGATATAATCAGATATATTAAATATAATATTGACGAAAATCCAGAAGAAAGTGGATCAAACTAGAAACCTTCTAGGTTAGACCAGAATGAGGTTAGGCTCTAGGAGGTGCAATTGTACTTTTAAGGTGCAATTGCACCTTATACGTTCTTTCAAAAAAATTTTAGAGAGGCGATTGTGTATCTTGAAATGAGATAAAACTTACAAAAGTGAGCTTCATTAGGTGTTGAGCAATTAAAATTAAATCATGAATATTCTAATAATACTGGCGAACGTTGCGAGTGCCAAATGAATTGCACTCCGATATCAGGCCTGACATTAAGTTCTGTTCGACTTGCTTACACTTTTTTACACTTTTTACTTAAAATGAGACAGATATAAGTATATTTGGCGCTGGGAAAAGAGAGGAAGCGAAGATGCTGAGTGTAAAAAGTGTAGGTCGAACAGACCAATTATCAACTATCGATATTCGACTTATCGATCAAGGACTCATGACGGCTAGCAGATGGCGCCATCGTGTCTGAATTTTTCGAAAAGCAGCAAAGTTGAGCGAAGGAAAGGAAACGAGACCACCCAGTTGCACAGGTCGCACTCGCACCAACTCGCACGTCGCACTCTGATGAACTCCGGTGAACTCCGGTGCATGGTTCTCGTCGTCTCTGATTTGCTCTGATTGTCTCTTAGTTGCTGTCAGTGTCGCCACGATGCCCGTTACTTCGTCACGTCGCCGACCGCTATGTTTGCCTTAACGTCTCGCCCACGATGCGTTAACGCTGCCGCGCGAATCGGACGTCCGTACGATCCCGACCGATTCGTTCTCCATGTCGCACGTGCGTCCCGTCGGCTTGAGATTGATTTGCACCGATAACGCGACGGGAATGAGCTGCCCGCGGGGAACGGCTGCGGTGCGGGACACGGCTGGTTTTTGACAGGGATTCCCCGATGCGCGACTGCGAGTTTCCTCGCGAGAACGGGCGAGCCTGGATACCCTGGATTCCCGTTGCTATTGAATTCTTCAGCATTCTAGCGTCGGTGTGAGTGAGCGAATATAGAAATTTTTCGATACCGCGCTGCCGATTACAGTTTTCCAGTCGTGTTTTCATCTTTTAGAGCGTGCCGCGATGCCGATGGCAGCGAGAGGTACCTCGAGCAGTGATCCATCTGTAAAAATGGTACGTCTCTCCCTCCTCTCTATCTATAAGCCTTTGTTTTTCCACAAATGGACTTGTGACTCGATTAGTGAATTGTCTCTCGGTTAATCCTTAGTACCTACGCACGATGGTTTTTGGTTCTTTACATTATAAGTCATTTGTGTCCCCCTATTAATTTTCATCACTTTTATAAGTATACCAAAATTATTAAGTAATTCTTACGTATAACTTATTTTAACATTGAAAAGTATTTATAAAGTTGTGTATTTAAAAAAAAGAAAGAGGACTGTTAGGTGTTTCTAGTATTTTAAAAAAAAGAAATCAAAATGTACAAGACACGAATGACCCAATCGTGTGTACCAAAGATTCAAAAGTAAAGATATATCTTATTGATTAACTTAATTGAAATTAGGAGTGCTCATTCCTATATGTTCCTAGAATGTTACTTGAATATTATTTAATATTCATATAATATAAGAACAGTGTTTTATAGAGTTAAAGTTCTCATTGTACGATCAAACCAAAGATATATTCTGAAATGTTGAAGTTTATACTTTGATAGTTATATTTCTTATATCGAGAAGCCTGATTGTATTAATTGGAATTCTGGTAGATTCGATAAAGGTTTACTGTTAGATATCAAAGAAATAATGGCAACCCAATCTCTTGAGTTAAATAACATTTTGTTATTTTTTACTTATATGTATATCAAAATGTAAATCTATCTATTTCTGTAGTTTCGAAGTCCATATTAACATATACATTTAAATAACAAATTAAATTTGAGTCAAATTTAATAAATTTTCTTGAATTAAATTGTTTAACTCCACTGTTTTAGTTAAATTAACGACATATTGATAAGCGCAGTGGCGACTCATAGAAATGATTAGGAATAACTAAAATTGGGTATAATTTGACATTATGACGTTTAACAGTGTACTCAGACATTTTTTATCAAGCATTCTAATCGAGATAATCAGAAATTTAATTATGATAAATAACTATAATTCTGATTAGTATGATTCAGAATTTTGTTTGTGTCTTCTTAGCACAACTAAGACATTTTTCTCAGTATACTATTAATAGCCATGAATGAGCAATATAAAATATGTACCAAATATAAGACATCAATTCTTGTGTACTTACATATTTGTAAATTAAATCCAAAATTAAAATTGAATTAATACAGAATTGATAAAGAAAACAAATGTTAGCTCTCAAAATAATCTTGACAAGATTGTAATAATAGTTGCATTGCACGAAATTTTAAGGATGCATGATGGTTTTTAAAGACTTTTTCAACTTCCAGTATATAAGAGACAAGTAAGCAGCGAATACTGTAAATATGTCGGCTTGATTGCCTGCGCAAGATGAGATTCAATAAGCAGGAGCTATTAACTCTGGCTACGCAGCCTTCGCAAAAATTTGAGAAAGAGGGTATCCTGTATGTAAGAGAACGACAAGAAGGCTTCTTTCGCAGGACGGAAAGTGAGTTCTTGGAACGTCCACAAACGCAATAAATACCTCTTCAAATTATAAGATCAATTATAGCGATGGAATTTATCTTGGCGAATGATTACCGATGCATGATTATTCTTTATTCATGTTGTTCAAGGCTTGATAATAAACTTCTAAAAATTCTTCGTTTGACGTTTGACGTAGAGACCTTTATAGAAGATCTTTCAATTCAGATTGTCGAACGTGTTAGGCTAATATTACATTTGTCCGTTTTTATGGTATGATAAAATTTTCAAGTCTGTTGATTGACTCTAGGATAGAGAGACTTCAGAACTTTTCTGTTCCACAGTCAATGAACACGCTTGAAAAATTTATCGTAAAGACGGACAAATATAATATTAGCCTTACAAAAAATAGCTGCATTTGGTTCTAGCTTTGTTTTAGTAATAAAAGAGATTCATTAAAATGTCGTTCGAAGTCTTTTTATATTTATTGATTGGAATTGTTTGATATTTAGACTCATATACTCTTAGTGATTTATTACATATTACGTTATGATAGAATATGTTGCACGAAAGAGATTTTATCGGCTCCCATGAATTGTTCCATTTGACTTATTCGATGCCCCATAACATCAGAGGAGAGACTGATAATTTAGCCTGTTTCTCTGTTCTTTCGTATTACGGCATGGCTTTGCACGAAGCAGACTATTTGTTTTGTCGTGACGTTGAATGACGTCAGCATTAGAAACTTCGCGAAGATATCAAGAATAGAGCGAAGTCTATTCGATTAATTTAAAACTATAAGGTGAAATAGTACAATTTCGAACATGGTACAATACGAAAGAAAGTAACGGTTGAAGATTTTTGAGGTTCAAGTTTGGTGATTCTGATCTCATTATATAGAGGGTATTAGAGCAACCAAAATTAAAAAAGAGCACCGAAATTGAACCTCAAATATTGGATTAAAATCTTAGGCCTGTTTTTTATCGGTGAACTCTCTGAACGGTGTACACTGCAGTAACTCCAGTTCAATAAGTTAAAGTAAAAAAAAAAACAAATATAGTATCTTTTATTTCAATTTATTGCACGGTGTAATTCAAAGAATTTTTCGATAAAGAATAAACCTTTAATTTTGTTTAGAATTATATCATGTTTGAAATTATCACCTTATCCTATATTATTTAGAGTTTATCCTAAATTATTTAGAGTTTATATCTCTAAATTAATTACATACTTAAGGTATCTGAGTAAAAAGTAGGTAATTAAAATGATGTTTCAATATTACGAGCCAGAAATGTTCTAATAGCAGAATAAAAATCCGTCAAAAAATAGAATCAAATGAGTTATTTAAAAATAAGATCTATTCCTTCTATCCATAAATTACCGACGATAAAAATAATCATTCATTAACGAGATATTAATAAACTGATAACAAAGAGATCCGCAGAGACTCGCATTTCATTCCCACGCGATTTGTTATAAATCGATACGACCTGATATATAATCGCAACAATTAAATTAATTCACTCGCTGCTCTTTCTCCTTGCCCTTTTACTTTATTAAGATGTCGTTGTGGCGGCTATCAGCAATCTCGTGCAATTTTCAGGTACAGGTAAAAAATCCGAGAACAAAAATCAGAAAGGAAGGTCGCATAAAAGTCTACGAGATCTCAATTGCGTTACTGCCGGCTTGAGCAAAGGTACATTTGCCCGAGTGCATTTTGCTGTAATATGATACATACTTATTGGAATCCATCTCACGCTCCTACATCACAATTTTTAACGCGATTAACACGCTCTTTGACGACCCGACTAATCTTAATTAACGTGTGTGTGTGGACGCATTTCCTTCGACACTTAAAAACACTTGCAAGAGTTCGACGCACGCTTCAGTGAGATCAATCTCGCAATTTATTTATTACATATTGAAACAAAGATTGAATAAGGAAAATTTGATAATCTCTAACGAATAAACAAAATATTTCAGCTCGAAAATTTAACATTTCTATTCTTTCGTATTTAACATTGCTGGATCTAATTTTTATACTTAAAATTACTAATTTGATTTTTTTACTTATGCATGTAATGTTTGCATGCAGTAAGTTTATTACTGAACGCTTGATTCTCTATTTATTAGAATAAAAGTGAAAATTCTTAATATTAACAAATTCTCGTAGTTTGATATTTTGTAATTTATCTCACTTTTGATTTACATTATTTAAATTGTTATCAGCAATTAATATCTTAGTATTATGTAGATTGTGGGATTGTTTTTTGTTAAAAAAGTTAATCAAGTGCGAAAGCTTGATAAATTACGCTTTCGGTGGTAAATCGAGAATTGCATGTGAAATGAAATGCTTCGCATGTGAGTGCATTTTCCGATAGAAATTCTGGAAAAATGAGAAAAAGTAACATAGAAGTTTTAATCCGCAAGTTCACGAGACACGCAGCGCTTTAAATTTAAAGACGATAAGTAGAAAACATGTTTTAAATACTCGCATACATTTTATATTTATATCTTTACATAGCATGTAAGAATCTTGTT